AGGAAATTCCACATTTCTGGTTAAGATTTGGACCAATTTAGCAAATCCAGGCCATTAGTTAGTGAATAACCAATTAGGCATCTCTTGTTTTTCTTACAGCATGCAGCAAAAATTTCCTCTGCTCCTCATCCTCTTCCTTGATTCTCTTTTTCCCTTTGCAAATAAACACAATTACTGGGAATCGTTGGGAATGCACCCATTTAATGATATCTTAGATAATTCTTCTGTAAAGTGCAAATTTAATTTTAGTGCAAGCCTTTCTTTAATACATTCCCTTCGGTATTTAATAATTGATGATGCTGGTGGGAAGATGAACCTCAGTTTCTTGGGGTTTAGGAAGCATCACCACCTCAGCTCCGTGATCCCAGAAAATTCCTGAAAGATTTGAAGGTGTCTGTGCCTGAGTGGAAATTCAGAGAGTGGCTTTTTCTCAAGACAGCAAGAGGTATTTTACTGCAGAAAGATTGTGTGGCTATTTTTAGTCCTGGGTACTGGTGAGGTGGAACAGAATATTTTTAGAGCTGTAGAAAATGCAGCCACTCAAGCTGGGTTCTTTTTTTCACACTGGTGCCGGAGGGGTTTTCCAAAATAAAGAGCAGAATTAGTAGAAAATGGCTTTTCTGTATAATTTTTATTTATGAAATAGGTGATCTGTGGATATACATATATATTTTTATATATATATATAGACACACATATACAGTGTATATATTTTTTATATATAGTTTATAGTTTATAATTTATTATTTATTACTATTTGTTCCTATACAATTTTAATTGGTTTGACCCTCTGAATACCATCTATTAAAAGAGTTTTCCCTCAAAATTTGAGAACTTTTTACCTCAGTGAAGTATTTTAAGGAAATCCACAACCAGCAGGGCATAACTTTGTCCCTCAGTTAATCTGTACCAATCCTGGATCATTCCTGGAGTGAGGTAAGCCTGGAATAATTCAGGAAATGGTGGTGAAATTAGGAAAAGAAAAGTTTGGGAGAAGAAATTCTGTAACGTTTTAGGCATTTTGACTTTTCCAAACTGTTGCATTCACAGTGCAAAAGAAAATGTTTTAATATTTAATAAATCATAGTTCTGGAAAAGAAACAACGAACCCAACCCCCCAGAAACATTCCTGGCATCTTTCTGAAGAATGTCCATATTAACTCTGTTGTCATGGCTTGATTCCAGCTTTATTGGATTATAAATTCTATTTCCATCCTCTTGGTTTTCAATTGCAGATCTATTTTTACCTTTCTTTTGTTAAATAATAATCATTGTTTGCAGGGCACAGTTGTGTTTGTAGCCATCAGAATTTTTTTTTTTTTTACTTTTTTTTGGTCTAAAACTGTATTTTCCTAGTTTTAATCATCCTCCAGAACTTGTAAAAGTAAATTATGTGCTTGATTTGCCAGGATCTGTTTGGTGTTTTAAACACAGCAGATACAGCAGATGAATTAACAGAAATCTGTCAGCTTTTCTGCACCCTGCAATTCCAAATTCCCAATGCTCCTGCCTTAGAGAATCTCAGATCTTTGGGAATAGAGGAGTTGGAGCCAGAGATAAACACAGAAGTTTGGTTTTTAGGGGAAAAGCTGCTCAGTGTTTAATGTGGTTTGGTGGGATCTTCACGCATCATTTGTAGGGTAAGCAGATCTGGAAGGACTAGATGTGGGCATGAAAAGATGATAAGGGAGAAGATTAGAGAAAACCACCAAGAAAAATCAGATTTTGTCTCTTCTTTAGGTGCAGCTGCACATGCAAGGGGCAGAGTTGTATCCTGGGAGTAGCTGAGGAGCCTGCCCATAACTCAGCTGTAGTTTGGGGGAGCTCCCTGCCTGCCTGTGCCTGCTCTGCTCCGTCTGTCAGGAGTTTGGAAATATTTTGATTGCTTTTTGGAGCATCTTTGCCTAATTAGCAGGTTTTTTTTCCCCTTCCCTCTCTGCAATCTGGCAGTCACAGCGAGGGCTGCACACAGAGCAGGGCTGGGGAGCAGGGGAGGCAGAGCTGCTCTCCAGGGAATGCTGCAGCCCTGGGATCAGGCATCCAGCAGGGAGCAGGGCTTGCTCACAGGCAGTGGGACACAGTCAGGGAGCACACAATTCCAGGAGGGTTTGGATTGGGAGGGAGCTGAAATCCCATCCCCAACCTATGGATCCCATCCCATCCCATCCCATGGGTCCCATTCCATCCCATCCTATCCCATTGATCCCATGGATCCCGTCCCATCCCATGGATCCCGTCCCATCCCATGGATCCCATGCCATGGATCCCATCTCCATCCCATGGATCCCATGCCATGGATCCTAGCTCCATTCCATCCCATCCCATCTCCATCCCATGGATCCCATGCCATGGATCCCATCCCATCCCATGGATCCCATGCCATGGATCCCATCCCATCTCCATCTCATGGATCCCAACCCATCCTATGGATCCCATCCCATCTCCACACCTTCCACTACCCCAGGGTGTTCCAAGCCTTCACTTGGACATTCCAGGGAGCTTCTCTGGGAATTCCATCCCAGCCCCTCAGAGTTTCTCTGGGAATTCCACCCCAGCCTCTCCCCACGGTCCCAGGGAGGAATTCTTTCCCAAATCCCATCTAACCCCACTTCCTGGCCATTTAAACCCATCCCCCTGTCCTGTCAGTCCCTTTCCAAGTCTCCCCTTCGAGGCTGCAGCAGTATTTGTACAAAAGACACTGAAAACACAAAAAAACCCAAATCTCGAGAGGAAACGTCAGAGGCCTTTTTGAATTTGGGTTTTGGTTCAGGCAGAGGCTGTTTTCTGTCCTGGCACGGCTCCTGAGGAGAGCTGGAGTAGGGAAAGCTCCCGTGGCAGCTCTCAGGGATGTCCTTCCTCGTTTTCTCCCAAATAAATGTATGAATGTTTTAATTTGACCAATATACAGCTGGATGTTAGGAAGTATTTATTTCCTGGGAGAGTGGTTAAGTATTGAAACAGCTTCCCCAGGGAAGTGTGGAATCACCATCCCTGGAAGGGCTCAAAAATCCAATTTTGGTTTCATTGACAAGGTGCTGTTCAGTCGGGAGTTGAACCTGGTGAACTTCAAGGTCTTTTCCTACCTTAATAACTCAGTGATTCTATGAATATGGAAGTTCAAACCCCACTTTTCATATCACTGTTTAGTAAAAATAAATCTCTTATCAACATGAGCAGAGGAAAAATGATTGAATTTCAGAACCTTTGGTCCAAACTTTGTCACAGTTTTCCTGCTGCACACAATTCCAGTTCTTCCTGTTTGCCCATTTCCCTGCTGGATTCCCTAAACTGGAGCTGCTGCAAAAAAGATGGGAAAGGGAAAACTTGGGAAATCCAAGGAATTTTGGTAGCTGCTGGTTGGCTTCTCTGGATAATTGAGCTTTAAATGAAGGTGGCATTAGTTAAATAGGCAGCAGTTTTTAATTAGTGAAGTGCTGGAGTTCACACCAAAGGTTCCCAAAAACCTTCCAGAACTTTTCTAATAAAGCCAAAGTTGACAATTTCCAGGCTAAAGCAAATAATCCCTGGGAGAAGAACCAACCCAGCAGAAAAACCCATGGAAAAGCAGGAAATAACAACTGGAATTCCCTCATTTCTCTGCAGTGCATGAGCTTGGCTAATTCAGCTTTTGTTAATTAGAGTTTGTAATTGTGATCTTGCCATTTATAGCTAAAAATAGGTGTCAAATTCTATGGAAGAGCAAATGTGAGAGCAGATTTTCATTGTTAATTGTATACATTGTGTCTGTTTCCTGCAGACATTGTGCTAGTGAGGAGGAAACGTATGCATTTCAAAATCTGAGTTATTTATAAAACTTAATTCTTTCTCAAAGATCCCAAACAGCAGCTTCATGTCCCCGTTCCTGCTCGTGCACAACAGCAAGCAATGGGATAAATGAAGGATTTTGGAGCAGTGTGATGCAGGAAAGATAAAAAATGGAATTTTGGGAGGTTCCTACTGTAATATTTACACTCAGTGTCTTTGCTATTGTTGGTTCCAACCCACCACACGCTGCTTGGAACAAAATCTCAGTTCTCACCCTGAAATATTCACTCAGCTGTCACTCAGGGATGAGTCAAGAATGCATTATAGTAAACCAAAAAATGGGAAATTTATTCAGTGTTTAGTGCACAAATAATTGTGTTGATTTATTCAGAATATTTATATTATATAACATTTATTCAGAACTTACAAATTTATTCAGATATTTATTCAGAATGTACAAAATTATGAAGAATAATGAGATTGAAGTGCAACTTCCAAGCAGCTTTTCATTCAGTGTGTGCTGGTGAGTGTGTGCAATCATTCTCTGGGGAGATGATGCTTTCTTTCAATTTATTCTTTAAAAAACCTTTTTCATTGCTGCAGTGGCCCTGTGAAAGGCTGTGTTTTAGCTCAAACCACTATTTTAGGGATTTTTAACATTAGTTTCCAGCAGGAGCATTTTACTCTTGAGCACTGTTTGGTTCTGGAGCGCTGTGGCACAGGCTAGAAAGGCTTTAAAATCAGATTTTATGGCTGCAGATCTCACGAGTTCTTGGCTTATTCTGGATATATTTGGTGCCTTGAAGTCCAGAAAGGCTCAGAGTGAAATGTGAGATGTCCCACGTGTTGTGTGCTGCCCCTCCGTGAACTTTGACAGGCCGAGCCTGATCTGGTGCGTGGAGGGAAATAAAAAAAGTGATTGATGAGAAATCCTCAGATGTATTTTTATTTCATGTCAGAGCACATCTGACATGAAATTACAGCGATAAAAAGCCTTGATTTGCCTCAGCTCTGCTGTTATCTCCAGCCCTATTTTAATGTACACTTTATAGGCACATAAAGTTTGTTCATTGTATTTTTATTTACAGGAGGCTTCCAATGGCAACTTCCTCAAAAGCTCTTCGGAGCCAGATGTGTCTGATGCTGCTGAAGTTTTAAAAAACGTGTGTTCTGACTTGATTTAATGATTTCCTGATTGTCCTGGCTGCTTTTTGATGCTCTCTGCTCTCTTGCAGCCTCAGATAACAGCCAGAGGTTTCGGGAAACCTGCTTTGCCTTCGCGCTGACGCCGCAGCAAGTGCAGCAGATCAGCAGCTCCATGTGAGTGGGCTCCAGCAGCCCTGAAATCCCAAGAATCCACCCCAAATCCACCCAGCTTTCCACAGCCCTGCTTGGGAACGGCAGGGGAGAACTCCTCTGGGGAGTTTGTTAGTGTTGTTGTGTGGGGAGGAGAGGATTCAGCCCCTCCACTGAGGTTGGGGTGGGTTTCTCTGCTGTTAAGCTCCCTGCAAATCCTGAATTCTGCTTCCTGCAGCTCTTCCTTGCCACCAGTTTCTCTGTTAATTCGTTATAAAGTTGTGACTTTATGGTGGCCCATCAGAATTTTTTTTCTAATACACGAAAAACCAAAAATCCCCACAAAAACCCCCACAAAAACAACCCATAAAACACATAACCCCCCCAAAAGAAAAAGCAACAAACAAAAACCAAAACAAACAACCCCCAAAAGCCAGCAAAAAATCCCAACAAACAAACAAACAAAAACCACCCAAAAAACCAACAAAAAAACCAAAAAAATAAAAAAAACCTCGAACAAAAACCCCCGCAAAAATAGAGCTCAAACACAAATTTATTTCTTTACCTCAAAAAATAAAAACTCTTCCTTTTAACCCCTCTTGAGAGGGGTGGTTTGAGCAGGAGCAGCAAAGTCTGGTGTACATTATACTTACCTGAAAGTGTGAATTTTCCATTTTTTGTGTAAAAACGAAATGTTTTCCATAAATTGGAAACTTCTAGCAAACTCCTGAGGAATCTTGTGAACAGCAGGATATTTTAATCCATTTTCTCTTGTTTCCAGGGATATTTCTGGGACCAAATGTGACTTCACAGTACAGGTCCAGCTAAGGTAGGGATTTTGTTGCCTGTTGGTTTTTAGGATTGATCAGCCAGGTCCTTCCCAGGTTGGGAATTCCTGGATGGAAAAGAGCTGGTTTTCCTCATCCTGGTTGATTTTTTTTTGTCAGTGAATCCTTCCTGTAGCTCCACCTTGGTCATTCCATGTCCTGGGGCTGGAAAATCCATAAGCAGGGAGGGTTGTTTTTCTTAGCATGGGTATTCCAAGATCTGCTTCTTTAGGCACTTTGGGAATCACCAGCCTGGTGAATTTTGGGGTTTCTAATAAAATATAAATGGATTAAATCCTCTGTCTCAGCCAGGTGGGGTGGGATGGACCAAGGATGAGGAGAGAATGAACAAACCCCTCTTGGATTGTCCATGGGCAGGTCCCTGGAAGGAGCCCAGGGCAGCTGAGAGGTTCTGCTGCTCCTTGGAATGCTCACTGTCCTGCTGGCAGCAGGAAAGGTGTGTCCTGCTGGGATCCAGCAGCAAAAACACCTCTTTGAACTGGAAAGAAATAAATTCAACAGCAGAAACTGCCTGGAAGTGCAGCTGGGACCGGGGAAATGTCATTTGTAACACCTTGGTGTTGTGTGGAGAGGGTCAGGCTGGAGAAGAGGCAGAGAAGAAATTGGGGGTGGGATGAGTCAGGCTGAGGAATTCAAGGAATCCGAGGAGGAACCTCCAGGCTGCTCGAAGCACTGTGATTTTGGGGGGTTTTCCTGCTCAGTGACATCAGTGGAGGGCTGTGTTTAGCAAGATCTGTCATGATTTCAGAGCTCATGGAAAAACAATTCTTTCTAGGAAGAGATGGTCTTTAAATCACTGTAAAAGTGAAAGATGATGGCAGCTCTTTGCTTTTAGGTTTTGTTTATCAGAAACCAGTTGTCCACAAGAAGATCACTTCCCACCCAATCTGTGTGTGAAAGTCAATGGGAAACCATGCAGCCTTCCAGTAAGTAAAATCTGCTTTTAATATTCATTTTGGGATGCATTATTAGGAATTTTCTGCCTGAAAATTTATCCCAATCTTTTTTTTTTCACATTCTGGAGAATTGGAATGAACAGAAAAGATCAAGTAATTTGTTTTAGCCAGTAGATCCAGAAGTTCAAGATGACATATATAGTAACGCTAACATGAGCAGAGAAAAGAAGGATTGAATTTTAGAAACTCTGGTCCAAAGTTTGGAGGTTTTTGTTTAGCTTTGCTGAGACAGGTGAGGTGGCAAAGTTCCCTTTGATTCTGTGGGCAGGGTTCGGATTTTGGATTTCCATCAGGAGAAGAGGCTTCTAAAATGCTCAATATTTTATTGTCTGATCCCTCTCTCTTTCAACTAAACACAGAGCCTGGTCCAGGTGTATTGGGAGGGACAGGACACAAAAGCACTGTGGGATTCTTTTTTCTGAGAGCTGAAATTTTGGTTTTCAGGGCTACCTGCCACCAACCAAAAACGGTGTTGAACCAAAGCGCCCCAGCCGACCAATCAACATTACCTCACTCGTCCGCCTGTCCACCACGGTCCCCAACACCATCGTCGTGTCCTGGACTGCAGAGATTGGCAGGGTGAGTGCCTCTGGGGTCTCTTCTGTCTGCTTTAGAGGTAATCCTGGCAGGAAAAAAAAAAAATCCTTGCTGGGGTGGCCACGGATGTTCTTGTTCAGCTGGAATTCGGCGCTGCCGGCCGGGCGGGATGTGCTCCCTCAGATCCCTCCCTCACCTTCGGGGTGGGATCTCTCCCTCCTCATCTTTGTGACTCAGGGAGGGCCAGATGAAGAGATCAAAGCATCCTCTAAGCCTTTTGTTTGTTGATTTGGCCAAACTTCAGACTTTGAAGCTCTTCCTGACTGCAGGGACTTGACAAAGCTTGGCTTGGACTTGCAAGGAGCGAGTGCCATTGAGCCCAGAGTGGCCCTTTAGAGCTGTGAGTGTGGACACAAAACACTGATTCCATTGACCTTTTTTACATTTCTCCCAGCTGTTCTCCTTATCCTTCACATTTAAAACCTCTTGGTTTTATAATTTTTTTGTGTCTGTGGGGAGAAGGTTACATCCGGTGTCAGAAAATCGCTGATGTTCCACCGGGCTAATGAAATCTGGAACATGCTGCAAAAAGTGACTTCAATAAATCAGCCATGAATTACTGAGCTGGCACCAAAGCTGCTGGGTGGGCATTCCAGAGGCACCGTGTGCTGCTGCCACTGCTCCCATCCTGTTTTCAGAAGTGCCCAGAATTGTCCTGAGGTGAAACTTTGGCCAAGAATTTGTCAGCGTGCAAAGCCCAGCGTGGAAAAATGCTTACACTCCAGTCAGGGACAATGGGCAGCTCTGAAACACCAGGGTGGGATTTCGTGGTGGATTTCTTGTGGAGCAGAAAACAATCTCCATTCAGATGATGGCATAAAGGATGGCTGAGTGATTCTGGGCCAAAAAAATCCTCTTTTATCTAATGAGAGCTGCAGGTATCAGAAAGAAGCAGTTCCAAATGGGTGAAGTGCAAGTGGGTGAGTCCCAGATGCTGCTCTGAGGGATTCACAATTCAGGATTTAGGGACAAGAAGTGCCCCAAGTTTGAGTCAGTCCCTTGGGAACTGGCTGGTTCTCAGGTTTCACAGATTAATCAGTTATAAAGAACATTTTGGGGAACTTCTGGCATAAATAAGCATTAGATCCAGAATTGTAGGACAGGGCTGGAGCAGCCTGGGACAGGGGAAGGTGTCCCTGCCCATGGCAGGGGTGGAATGGGATGGGATTTAAGGTCCCTTCAACCCAAACCATCCTGGAATTCTGTAAAAAACAATCCTTCCTAAATAGATTCTTTAAGACACACCCCTTCCTAAATTGATTCTTTAACACAGTCCTTCCTAAATAGATTCTTTAAGACACAGCCTTTCCTAATTTGACTCTTTGAGACTTTGACAGTGAAATGTGAAGAATTATTTTATATTTGGCTGTGCCTGTGTAGCACAAAATCTGAGTTCCCCTCTCCCCCTTCCCTCAAGAGTCAGTTCTGGTCCCAACTGTGCTCCCTACCTTTGCTGGAGTCCTCGCTGTGATTTTTACACAATCTGTTTCAAGAGCCTTCTGTACAAGATGCCTTGGGCAAGTTCCTGCCTTTGTAGATTCAAGCTGTCGGTAAATAATTTCACAACGTTAATTAGCATTTTTCTAACTCCTCTCCTAATTGAGGCATTAAACAAACAAGTTAAGGCAGTAGTGGTTTTTAACGATGTGAGAAGCATTCATTGTGAGAATAAAATATTTAAAATGTGGTGTTTCTGATGCTGCTCCACTTGGTGTGATTTTGTGGTGAGATATATCACTGAGATCCTGCCTTCAGATCCTAAATAAAGGACGGGGGCTGTCACAATTACATGGATTTTTTTCAAGTGGAAACGTGTGGCAGTTGCTGAGGGAAGCCTTTTCTTTTTCAATTTAAATTGTATGAATGCAGCTCCAGGTTTAGCCAATGTTCAAATCAGAAAATAATTGATGCACCCTAATGTGAGAACATGGATTTGGTCCTTTCCATTCTGGAGGCTGAGAGGTGTTGCTGCTGAGTCACATTTTTAGAAAGACATAACCTGATTTTTTTTTGAGATTATAAGAAAAATGAGAGCTTCAGAAATCCCAGGAATTTGGGCTCCGTGGCAGGAAGAGTTCATTCCATGAGGGAAGGTTCACTTGACTTGTGGGACTTGACAGAGTTGGGTTCTGCCTCTGAGCTGCTGTGGTGATGAAATTCACATTTCAGAGACAATTGAGGGCAGGAGGAGAAGAAAAAGATGGCCAGTGCTTCCAGATACTGCAGGTGATGCATCTTGGGAAGAGGCATCGCTGCTCATTTTCCTGTTTTGAAAACAAAATAGGCTTTTATTAAAAAAAAAAAAATGTAAAAAATCTGATAATATTTGACCTGACAGCTTTCCTTAAATGCACTGACACCAGTGCAGTGTTGAACATTATCCATGTAAAATTAAATATACTGACACAAGTGCAGTACTGAACATTATCCATATAAAATTAAACCACTGACACCAGTGCAGTGCTGAATATTATCAATATAAAATTAAATATACTGACACCAGTGTAGTGCTGAATATTATCCATATAAAATTCATTGTACTGACACCAGTGGAGTGCTGAATATTATCAATATAAAATTAAATATACTGACACCAGTGTAGTGCTGGACATTATTCATATAAAATTAAATATACTGACACAACTGTGATGCTGAACATTATCCATGTAAAATTCAGTGTACTGGCACAAGTGTAGTACTGAATATTATCAGTATAAAATTGAAGCAGCTCTCCTCCATGGTGCCCTGCAATCCCATAGCAAACTGTTACGTGCTGCAGACAGGGATTTTCCCGGATGTTTTGGGGTTTTCTCTGATGTTTTTGGGGTTTTTCAGAAGCAGCTCTTCTCAGCAGTGCCCTGCAATCCCGTAGCAAACTGTTACGTGCTGCAGACAGGGATTTTCCCTGATGTTTTGGGGGTTTCCCTGATGTTTTTGGGGTTTTCCCCGATGTTTTTGGTATTTTCTCAGCTGTTTTTGGGTTTTCTGTGATATTCTGTGATGTTTTCCAGAACTATTCCATGGCAGTGTACCTGGTGAAGCAGCTCTCCTCCACGGTGCTCCTGCAGCGGTTGCGGGCCAAGGGAATCCGGAACCCGGATCACTCCAGAGCACTGAGTATGCGTCCATTTCCTTTTGTAAAAGGATAAAAAAAATCACTTTTGTGAGGGGAGATTTGGAATTAGGACTGTGCTAACCAAGCTTTGGACTTCCTACAGCCCTCTGGGCTTTGGGAATGTGATAGTGGTGTTCTTTGTGTTCAGCTCCAATTCAAAGACTCAGAGCCTTTGTTTGCGCTAGGAGCCGGTCCAGGAACCCTGTTGACACTGTGAGGGGAAAAATGCAAGAGAATCTCTTTCAGCTCAGCCATCCTGGCTTTGTTTGTGCAGAATGGCACAACTGTGCTCTGCAGTCAAGTGGGCATTCAGTAAAAACCTCAGGAGAAGAAATTGGTGGAAGTTTGTGGTATAAAAACAGCGAAAACTGCTGCGGGTTTGGTTTTCAGGGAGAGGGGAAAATCCCAGCACCTGATCCATGTAAAATTACTCTTTAATTAATGCTCACATCAGGGGTTGTACCTTCTACAGAGGGGAAGAAATCAGTGCAGCAGTAAAAAATAGTGCAGAATGGCACAAGTGTGTTTTACAGTGAAGTGGGCTGAAGGCCTCACCCTGGGCCTGGCCTGGGCAGGAGCAGCTCCACCGGCATTTTCTGTCCCCAAATTTTGGGGTGAGCCCGGGGAAAGTGCCCAGCACAGAGCCCCTCCTCACCACAGAGTGAATTTGCTGCCTTTCTGTTTCCTCTGACAACAAATGAGTGGAAATCTATGGCATAAAACCAGCAAAAACTGCTGTGGGTTTGGTTTTCAGGGAGGGGAGGAAATCCCAACACCTGATAGTGGTGTTACTCTTTAATTAATGCTCACATCAGGGGTTGTACCTTCTGCAGAAGGGAAGAAATTAGTACAGCACTAAAAATGATGCAGAATGGCACGAGTTTTACAGCGTTTTACAGTGAAATGGGCACTCAGCACCTCAGGGCCGAAGCCTCCCCCTGGGCCTGGGCATTTCTGTCCCCAAATTTTGGGGTGAGCCCGGGGAAAGTGCCCAGCACAGAGCCCCTCCTCACCACAGAGTGAATTTGCTGCCTTTCTGTTTCCTCTGACAACAAATTGGAGGAAGTTTGTGGCATAAAAACAGCAAAAACTGCTGCGGGTTTGGTTTTCAGAGAGGGGAGGAAATGCCAGCACCTGATCCATTTAAAATTAGTCTATAATTAATGCTCACATCAGGTGTTGTACCTTCTCCAGAGGGGAAGAAATGAGTGCAGCGCTACATAATAATGCTGGGCATTAATTTGTCTTAATGCAGTTTGATGATTTATTCACAAAATGCATAAAAAATGCACACAAATCTATGGCTTAATGCACAATATGCACAAATATCTACAGAGTTCCTTCCAGGTAGCTGCTGCTCTGCAAGGTGAGGATGAAGGTGTAGGTCCAGTTCTTAAGCAAGAATAAAATGAGTCTGACTTGTTCATTTTACCAATGAGTGCTCATGAAACAGGCCTTGTAAATAAAAATAGAGGATGAAAAATTCCAGAAATTAAAGACTTCAGTATTTCACTGCAGTTATTTAAATCTCAGATTTTGCCAGGGTACTGCCTGTAGCTCAATTTGCTTTTCAGTTTGAAGTCACTTGATGAGGATTTTGGGGGTTTGTAGTGGTGCCTGTCCATGTGAGAGTTGTTAACAAGTTTAGCTTGGAGTTGGAAGTGAAATTAATGTGATATTAAATATTAAATAATGGTCAGATATAAAGTTGCATGCAAAGGAGTTAAGCTATCTCTGGAGAAACAAGTTTTAGGGGTCTTGAATTCAAAGTTTACCACACCTTTTCAGATTTATTTTATTTCTTTCTCATGCAATTCATGTTTGAATTTACCTAAAATAAACCTTTTCTTCTTTCAAATACCAGTTAAAGAGAAACTAACTGCTGATCCAGACAGTGAAATAGCAACAACCAGCCTAAGAGTGTCTCTTCTTTGTCCAGTAAGTTGATTTTTTATTCCCTCAAAAGTGATTCTGATGGAAATTACCTCGTGTTTACCTGGTAAAACTTCGTGGGGACAGGGTACAGCTGAAGTTATCTCTGTGCTGAAAAGCTTCTGAAATGCCCCTGGGAAAATGAATATTCCATTAGCTTGGAAATGTCACTCAAAATATATGTAAGCATGCATTTAATGTGTCACTGGATCATCTGAGAGTGCAGCTTGGGCTTGGATTGATAAAAACTCTCTGAAAAGGGAGAAAAGGGGGGAATCTGATGCTCAAAGCAGCCCAAGGAGGCTGCACCTCCTGGAATTGTGCAAATGCACCCTTGGATTTAATAATCTGAATTTAAAACCAAAGCAGTGTCCTGGAGTTGTTCATGCAAAATGTTTGGATCCAGCAGGAAGTGAGAGGAAATAATTCCAGTGAAAATACAAGTGGCAGAGATCTTGGTGTTCTCGCTGGTTTTTAACCAAGTAGATGCACTATTTTATACCTGGATTTATGTTACCAGTGATAAATTATTAATAATTTATCATTTTAACATCATGTGTGCACTTCTTTGAATCTCTGGGACTGGTTTCAGGTGCAGGGACACCTTCAGAATATTTGAATTCTCTCTTGATTGGGAGTCCCTTTACTGCAGCACAACTGTTGAAATTCTTACCAAAATTAATCACACATTAAATTAATGTCTTCAATTCCACCAGATGCACCAAGAGTTATTTAAAATAATTAATTAATGCTTCAGTGTTCCAAAATATGACATGGAAGTTACAGGTTTTTGAGCTTATCAATTCTGAGGTTTTAACTCTACAGATCAGGATTTAGTTTGGTAGATGAAATCCCTGTACCTTTCCACAGATTCATTTTATCTTCCTTAGAAATTCCTTAACTTCCTCAGTTAGAATCAATGCTGGTTTGGAGAAAGGAATAAAACTGAAGATCATGACAATATCACATTTAAAGATCTGCAAGAATATAATGTATCTAATACATATATATAAAATAGAATTATATATTTATATTTCATTATAAATTTTATTATATTTTTATTCATATTTGTTTCTAAATATCTCTATATATATATATATTTATGATATAAATATAAAGTAACCACACAGTTAATTGTGCTTTTTATGAAGCAAAGCTTACACCTCTAAAAGTTGATCTCTTTAGAGTCTAAGAACATATTTAATAACTTGAAAAATAAAATAAGCTCCAATTTTGGAGGAATAAACTCCAGTTTTTCAGAGGGGATTCTCTGAGCTTGGACTTCAGAGCACACTCAAATTCATGTTCATTTCCCCCTGAAAACACAAAGAAATAAATCCCCAAGCCCTGCAGTTGGACCAAATATTTAACTGAAGAAAAATTCCAAATCCAGGGCTCTGCTGGAGGTTCTGCAGCTTTGTTTACAAATCCTGAACTCCTGTTTTTAGCAGGGAAAGAGAAATGTTTTGTGTGCTCGTAAAAGAAATTAATGCAGTGTTTTTTGGCTGCCAACAGGCAGGAATCAGTCCCAGTGATGGGAATGCAGCTTTTCCACACTTGGGATGCATCCCTGCTTTGGTTTGTTGGTTTTTTTCTTTTTTCTTTTTTTTTTTTTTTTTTGTGGCAGAGCTGATCCAGAAGGTTCAGTGCCAAAAATGGGGGAAAAGCATCAACCTGTGAACTCTTGAGTGTGGTTAAATCCCATCTCAGGCAGAGGTTTTCTACCAGAACCCTGGGAAAAAAAAAATCTTCCTGGCTTTTAAATCTGTTTGGTTTTTTGTTTATTTTTTTTTTTCCCCCTCAGGGACATCCCAGGCAGAGGTTTTCTACCAAAACCTTGGGAAAAATCTTCCTGGTTTTTTAATCTGCTTTTTTCCTCTCAGGAGATGGGGTTTTATTGTCCTTCCTGCTTCCTGTCTTTGACTTTCCTTATTTTCCTTTTGAAGCATCCAGGTTTTCCTTCTGATGCTCCTGAGCTGGGGGAGTGCCCAAAAATGAAACGAGCCACTGCCCCTGGGAGATGAGAATTCCTGACACACACAGAGCAGGGGGGGAGCTGATTTTGGGATGGGAGTAATGTGATTTTTGGAATGGGAGGAATGTGATTTTGGGATGGGAATAATGTGATTTTATGGGATGGGAAGAACGTGATTTTTGGAATGGGAGGAATGTGATTTTGGGATGGGAATAATGTGCTTGGTCATGGGTTTGAGGGGAGGAGATGCCAAACATTTGGCACCAGAGCATCTCCTGTGGGAATTCTGTGTCCCCAGGGAATTCTGTGTCCCCTCCCATCACTGGGGACTGGGTGACAGTGACTGAGAGCCAGAGAGAAATAAGGAAAATAAACGAGGTTTCAGTTCAGAGGGAATAAAAACAAGCCCTCACCATCAGGCTGGAGGAAGTGGTGGCCTGTGAGAGGAGCCTTTGTTTGTGGTGTGGGGTTGGGTTTGGGATATTCTGGTGCCATCCTGTGGCATCCTCCTTGTACTGCTCAGCATCAGCTGGATTGAGCCAGGCTCCCAGAAATTCCACTCCCAGCCCTGGGAGCAGCCAGAGTTGCTCAGGTGCAGCCTTGGGGATGTTTTAGCCAACTCCTCAGTGTGAACACTTCTCCTCCTGATGCCTCAGGTTTAGGTTTTATATTTTTCAGGTTCTGAGCTGCTTTAGTGGGTGGGTCTGGGCTTCACATTGGGGATGGTGAGCTCTGCACAGAGCAGGGAGACAAAACAATTCCTGCTCCAGCTGGGCACCAAGGACAAATGATCCAAATCTCAGCCCAAGAGCACAAACAGCGTGGAATGAAGAGAGGAAAACAAGGATGGGACTGCAGGGGCTGCAGCTGGAATTGGGCAATGAACTGCAATGTGCACATGGAGCAGAGCTGATCCCAGTGACAGAGCCCGTGACCATCGTGCATTTTGGGACCATTTGGGTTCATCTTGTGCTGCTCAAGGTGGATCCATGGAGGAGATCCTTGAATAAATCCCTGTTTTATTCTGTAACTCTGCCCAGCCTCTGCTCCTGCTCAGCCTTCCCAAGGCATCACTCCATAAATGACTGTTCTGTTGGGTTTTCATGTGGTGAAAATCCCGTTCACACCTTGCTGCTCTCACCTTTGGTGTGGTCGGTCCAGGCCCCTCCTGAGCTGCAGCAGTGCTTGAAACAAGAGAAGTGATTCAAATAAACAAAAATACATATTATAGCAGAGCCATCTAACACAAAGTACTCAATAAACAACAAAGTTCAAAGAGTTTCTTTTTTGTTGTACCAAGAGGAGGAAATGTAGGAAATAGTAAAGGTAAGATCTCCAGAAAGCTGTAAAAACAAGCCTTAGAAACAGAAAAAGCAGAGAAAAAAGAACTAACTACAGCTGCAAAATTTGAAAGTAGAAAAGTTACAATAGTATAGCAAGCAAGAACATTTGGGGTTTTTTGAGCAATTGCTGGAGTTTTGTGAGGAGATTTTTTTTACTTCAGATTAAAGTGGAATTCCTTTTGCTATCTGCTTTCCTTTCACTGTAATGATACTTTCATGATAATGAAGGATAATTCTGGTTTTGGTCTATGTAATACATGGAATAATATATAATAATTCTATTTTTGGTCCATCCAGGACACTGCTATTTACAGGTACTCGGTGTATATATGGAGGATGTATTCTTCAGGTTCCTGGACCAAATACAACTCAAAACATGATTTTTATTCTCTTTTATGCCATTTCAGACATACAGGAAGGAGGGAACAGTGCATGTGACAAAACTCAGACTCCTGAGAGTCCTTTCTGGAATAAAACTCAACTCATGTCTCTTTTCAGGCAGGAAAGCCCAGGTGGTTAATTTAACACCAAGGTAATAAAATCCTGTTTTTTTTCTCTTGCAGCTTGGCAAGATGCGCCTGACCATCCCCTGCAGGGCCCTGACCTGCTCCCACCTGCAGTGCTTTGATGCCACTCTCTACATCCAAATGAATGAGAAAAAACCCACCTGGGTGTGCCCCGTGTGTGACAAGAAGGCTCCTTACGAGCATCTCATCATCGATGGGTGAGTACAGCTGAAATCAGAGCCCAGGTGGGATGTTCCTGCCTCAGACTAAGAGGATTTCCCTCCTGTTTGGAGCTCCCCGTGTTGAATTTTTCTGCTGCTGGTCAGGAATTCCTGAGCAGCTCCTTCTCAAGAATTCTGCTCCTTCAAACTCAACTTGATAACAATGAGAGCAGTTCTCAGTGAATTCCTGAGCTTTCCTAGGTGCCAACAGCACACGTTGTATTTCCTTTTAATGGAGCAGCTGTACAAATCTGGCAGGGCTGATAACAGACAGAGCAGATCAATGCTGCCACCCCTCTGAGTGCCTGCACAATTCCTGTACAATTTCACACTCGGGGAGTTGCTATCTATAGAAAGTGACACACAGATTGATTCCCTGGCTCTGCCTGCTTGCAAAACACCAAAAAAATAAATAAATCTCACCTCGGGCTGGGCCAAGTGTGGATTTCTGGGTTTGCATTTTAATTTCTTTAAGAGAGAAATTTTTCTTTTTTTTTATATAGAGAGAATAAGTAGAGGTTTCTGAGAATACTCTCAATATAAAACAAAGCCCAAAAATTGATGAAACACACACACAAAAACCCCAAAAGCAAAGCTGAAAAGCCCCAAGAAACACCAAAATGCTGAAAAACCACCTCATCAACGATGAGTCTTTTAAGGAAGGTGTGTTTTATTTTGCCAGGGAAGGGTGAGGTAACTCAGGGTCCCTTTAGAGCCTTGCAAGAGACACTCAGGCTGTTCTGGACCCCTGCAGCCCCAGATTTCCAGGGGAAAATGTGCCTTGGATCAAAGAGCTGGGGGGCTCCTCCTTGAGGTTTCTGCCTAAACCAGCAAAGCCAAAAACCAGGAATAATGCAAACCCCACGTTTCCCTTATTTCCCCTGGTGCTGCCAGGTGCAGATGTTGGGTCTGATCTAACTGGAGCATCCCAAAGGGAAAGTTTTTTGTGGAAAACGCTCCAATCTGGGAAAGAGGGAGCTAATTAAAGCCAAGCTCTAATTAAAGTCAAGCTCTTCCCTGCAGAACCACATGAATGGCCCTGGTCAGAAGCTGGAATTCCCACTGGCAGTGATGTGCTGCCAGGATCCTAAAATTTTAGGAGATGCCTGTGGGAGAAGAGGCTGCAAATTGAGGTTCCCATGCTCAGCATTCTGTAGAAAGTTTCACAAGGCCTTGAATTCTCAGATTTAAGAGAGGTTTCCTCAGTTAAGTTTTGTCAGGACTTTTTTATCAACTCTGGTTCATAGAATTCCTTTGTTTTGGGAAATGGAGAGTTCTGTGTCACAAGCTCTGCAGGATTCCACTCTCAGTGCTTTTAAATAAAAATCTTCATTTTTGCAGATTTTTATTTTAGGTAATATTTGAATTTTGTTAGTGATTCCTTTTTATCAAGGAGGCAGCTGAGAGAAGAGCAGAACAGTAAAATCTTCACCACAAATTCAGATTTACACTGACTAATAAAGGAAAAAAAAGGCACTTTTTTAGGACTGATATGAAATATTTTTATGGACAGGTTGTTCATGGAGATCCTGAAGTTCTGTACAGATTGTGATGAAATCCAGTTCAAGGAGGATGGGTCCTGGGCTCCCATGAGGTCCAAGAAGGAAGTGCAGGAGGTGACAGCATCCTACAACGGAGTGGATGGTGAGCCATGGCTGGGCTGGGAAGGGCACTCTGGGATCCCCTGTGTTCCTTCACCTCCCAAAACGCTCATTTGTAAACATATTTTTATAGCTTTGATCATTTCTGTTCAGTTAATTGGGTCACACCTGTCTGGGGCTGATGGTGTTTAAAGTTACCACCATTCTGTGATTATTTTGTTTTTAAATGTTGAGCTTTTTAACGAGCTGTGGTTGTAGCTGATTGTCCATTCTGTGCAGGATGCATCAGCTCCTCCATGGAGCACCAGGTGTCCTCTCACCAACAATCCAACAAAAACAAGAAGGTGGAAGTGATCGACCTGACCATCGACAGCTCCTCAGACGAGGAGGAGGAGGAGCCCTCGGCCAAGAGGAGCTGTCCCTCCATATCCCCAGCATCACCCATGAACAGCAAGGGGTGAGCACTGCAGGGCCACTCAGGGAGTCCAGAGTGAAGCAGCTCTGGAAACTGCTGGGGTTGGGTTGGAGCCTCCTTTGGTAGCTCTGGGTTTGCTCCCAGCACGAGGCCCGAGGTTGGAATCACAGCTTTGAGTGAAATGAAATATTTCAGTTGTGTTTGTGATTTGGTACAAAGGGAAATCACAGCTTTGAGTGTGAAACATAATGAAATATTTCAGTTGTGTTTGTGAATTGATACAAAGGGAAATCACAGCTTTGAGTGTGGAGCACCATGAAATATTTCAGTTGTGTTTGTGACATGGTGCAGAGGGAAATCAAACTTCAAGTGTGGAACATCATGAAATATTTCAGTTGTGTTTGTGACATGGTGCAAAGGGAAATCAAACTTCAAGTGTGGAACACAATGAAATATTTCAGTTGTGTTTGTGATTTGGTACAAAGGGAAATCAAACTTCAAGTGTGGAACATCATGAAATATTTCAGTTGTGTTTGTGAATTGGTACAAAGGGAATCAAAGATTTAAATGTGGAACACAGTGAAATAATTCAGTTGCTTGTGAAATGGTGCAAAGGGGAATCACAGCTTTGAGTGTGCAACACAAATATTTCTGTTGTGTTTTTGAAGTGGTGCACAGGGAATCAAAGATTTAAGTGTGGAACACAGTGAAATATTTCAGTTGTGTTTGTGAAATGGTGCAAAGGGAATCACAGCTTTGAGTGTGGAACACAATAAAATGTTTTGGTTGTGTTTGTGAAATTGTGCAAAGGGAAATTACAGCTTTGAGTGTGGAGCACCATGAAATATTTCAGTTGTGTTTGTGAAATGGTGCAAGGAGAATCACAGTTTTAAGTGTGCAACATAATAAAATAATTCAATTGTTTGTGAATTTGTGCAAATGGAATCACAGCTTTGAGTGTGGAACACAAAATATTTCAGCTGTATTTGAAAAAAATGAATGTAAAATGATGCAAAAGGCACAAAAGTGTGGATTTTGCAGATCTGGGAATGTTTTTCTTCCACGGGGAAACGTGGAAGCAGCAGCCTGGGAGGAGCAGGGCTGTGGGAATAGGGAGTGCCACAAGCACCTGGGCACACCTGAGCAGCCAGGCTGGAAATAGCTCCTGGTTTGCATAAATATTCTGGGATGGAAGCCAGGGATCCTGTGGGAAGTGTTCCTGCTCCACAGTGGGAATGACTCAGTGATCCCTCAGACCCCTCAAGGCCTTTTCCAGCTGGAATCACCCTGCAGGGTGGCAGTGCTCTGGGGTCCTGTGGGGTTTTGGGTTCAGGATTCCTTCAGGATTGTCTTGTCCTTGTTGAAAACACCTGTAACACATTTCCAGAGATCCCAGCACCATTGCTGCTGTTTGGGACTGAACTTTACTTTCCCAAATTCCAGCTGTGCTGTTCCTGATGGGATATTGTGAGGAGAAGCTTGGGGAGTGTGTGCTGCAGCTTTGGAATGGCTGCACATCCTCCAGGAAGTTCAGAATGTGTTTTGGATTGAAATTCAATCTGAAAATAAGCAAACAAGCATCCCCTGATGGGACAGCAATAAACCAAGAGTGTATTTCATGCTTTTAACAAGCTTTTTTTTATCCCTTCCAGCATTTTAAATTTACCCCACCAAGCTTCTCCTGTGTCAAGAACCCCAAGCCTTCCTGCTGTGGACACCAGCTACATCAACACATCACTCATCCAGGACTACAGGCATCCATTCCACATGACACCCATGCCTTACGACCTGCAAGGTGAGTTCTGGCTGCACCTGCACAGCTCTGCAGGCACTCCTTTGATGATACAATAAAAATAATTAGGTTAATATCTCTGGTAGCAAAGAGAATTTGGAGTGTCGTCAGTGTTTGGCTGGTTTGATTTCAAAATAAGTGGTGGAAGAATGGACAGGGGCTGTTTTGAGAAGCTGAATTTTGGTTTTTTTGTCTCTTGACAGGTTTAGATTTCTTCCCTTTCCTGTCAGGTGACAATCAGGTAAGTCAGGGAGAACCAAATGCTGTGGCAAACACTTTTCCCAGTGGGATTTGCTGTGTGGGAAGCAGCAGCATCATTATGTGAACACAGGTGTGGGATGAGGCACAGCAAAAATAAATATTTGGGGAGTTTTAAAATGTTAAACTCAGCAGCCTCTTCATTGTGGAAGGAAGGTGCAGTTTGATCCCTTTTCCTCCAAAAAAAGGGAGCTGGGATGTCTCCCTGCCCTTTCTGCCCTCCCAAGGAGGGAAATTGCACTAAAATTGCCCTAAAAGCTGAGGGAGACTTTGATATCCTCATGGAGAGCAGAGCCTGCACTGGGAATTTGGGTCAGGAAATCTGCCTGAATATCCAGGATCTGAGAATGATTCTGATCCAAGAAATGCTGCTCTGGTTGTGGAGAAATCTTTGGGAACAAGGCTGGGACAGCCTGGATGTTCAGTCATGGTGGGAAGGAACGCTGAGAGCAGAGCTCCCCCTCGGGGAGGTTGGGTTTCAATGGGATTTTTGGCTGCTCAAGCTCCTGCCCTTTGGGGCTGCAGCAGAGAGGAGAACCTGGGACAGTCCCTGCTCCACCAAGCTGGCCCTAAAAGCATTTCCCAGGATTGTGCCAGCAGGGATCAGCACAGCCCCACTCTCAGCTGGGCTCACCCTGGCTTCTGGGGGCTGGCAGAATGGACTGGGGAGAATTTCACCCCCAAGGAATTTTTTGAACAGCTAAACAAAAAAAAAAAAAAAAAAAGCCCAAAAGTGCTGCTGCTTGCCCTTTTCCTGGTCTGGGTGCTGTGATCCCATTCCTGCTTGCCCTTTTTCCTGGTGTGGGCTCTCTGATCCCATTCTCTCCCTGCTCTTTGTAATCCCAGCATCCCCAATTCCTTTTGGCTTCAAAACTGAAGGACCACAGAGCTAAAAATCCATTTCATGTCCCTGTACCTGAGCTGCTGTGAAACCCAGAACCTGCCAAAACCTCCTCTTGACAAAACCCCCTTTATTTTCTCCTCCTCTGAGTGCAAAATCTGAAACATAACCTGTTGTTTCTACCCCCAAAATGCTGCTGCTCACCCTTTTTCCTGGCTGGGATTGTCTGATCCCATTCCTGCTTGCCCTTTCCCTGGTTTTGGCTCTCTGATCCCATTCCTGCTTGCCCTTTTCCTTTTTTTGGGCTCTCTGATCCATTCCCTCCCTGCTGCTCTGTGGGCTTTCCTTTACAAACCGTGTTTGTGACCCCAGCATCCCCAATTCCTTTCAGCTTCAAAACTGGGGAACCACAGAGCTAAAAATCCATTTCACGTCCCTGTACCTGATCTGCTGTGAAAACCCCAAACTACCAAAACCTCCTCTTGACAAAACCTCCATTTTTCCTGCTGCAAAAACCCCTGAATTTTAACCCTTTCTCTCCCGCCAGCATTACAACACCTCCCTCCTCGCCGCCGCAGCCGCCGCCGTCTCCGCCTCGGACGACCAGGAACTTTTACACTCCCGCTTTTTCCCTTACACCTCGTCCCAAATGTTCCTGGATCAGCTCAACGCAGGGGGGAGCAGCTCCCTGCCAGCCACCAACGGCAGCAGCAGTGGCAGCAACAGCAGCCTGGTCTCCTCCAACAGCCTGCGGGACAACCACGGGCACCCCGTGGCCAGCAGGAGCAGCACGGACACGGCCTCAATCTTTGGTATCATACCAGATATTATCTCCTTGGACTGATTCATTTCTATATTTTTTTTTTAAAAAAAAAAAAAAAAAAAAGTTAAGTCAAGGTGGTTTTTTTTTCCTTTTTTTAAAAAAGGGGAAAAAAAAATTTATGTGTACAGAGAACAAAAAAAAAAAAAGTCTATTTTCAGTTTTACTTTTGTATATAAACCTAAGATGGCCTCGCTGGTAAAAATAAGAAAAAAAAAAAAGACAAAAGAGAAAAAAAAATTAAGAAAAACAAGGAGCTTCAGTTGATTTTTATGGATGCTGAAGATTTTACACCTGTGCATTTGTCATGTGAGTTTCTTTTCTTTTCTTTTTTCCCCCCTATAGTTTGGACACCAATGGCATTATTTTCTCCACTGTTAAAGAAACAGGAGAGGAGCTGAACTTCTAAAGTTCAAGCTTGGGGAAGAGGGTTTTTTCTCCTCTTGGAGACATTTCCCTTGGCTGGTGGAATCTAATTCCCCCATCCCATGTTTAGTGCAGATTTTATAATTGTGGCAGCAGAGCACACCCTGCTCTTCTGCAGCCCAGAGCCTTCCAGGAATGGGGTTGGTTTTTTGGGATTTTTTTGGCATTTCTGGTTCTGTGAGCCTCTCTACCCAAATTCTCCTTTTCGATTCCATGCTTTAGTCAGGAATGTTGCAAATTCATCCAGGGAATGACACAAAACTCCCTGAGAGGTTTAGGTTGGATTTCAGGGAAAATTCCACCTCCAGAGGGTGAGGGGCACTGCCCAGGCCCCCCAGGGAATGCTGACATTCCCAAGGCTGCCAGAGCTCCAGGAATGCTGGGACAAAGCTCCCAGGGACTTGGATCCTCGTGGGTCCCTCCCAACTCAGAATATTCCACATTTTTGGGATTCAGTTACTCCTGAGGGCCTGACCCCCTCAAATCCCAGCTGAGGAATGACTTGTGGGACAGGATGTTCCATTTTTGTGGAGTGGAGCCCCAAATCAACACCAAATCCCAGCTGAGCAATGACTTGTGGGACAAGATGTTCCGTTTTTTGTGGAGTGGAGCTGAGGAATGATTTGTGGCACAAGGTGTTGCATTTTTGTGGAGCCCCAAGTCAACATCAAATCCCAGCTGAGCAACGACCCGTGGGACAAGATGTTCCATTTTTGTGGAATGGAGCCCCAGATCAACACCAAATCCCAGCTGAGGAATGACTTGTTGAGGAATTCATTGAGGAAATGAATTTGATTTGGACAAGATGTTCCATTTTTATGGAGTGGAGCCCCAGGCCCCACCTGAGGAGTGATCTGCAGCACGAGATGTCCCATTTTTTTGGAGTGGAGCCCCAAAGCAGCGCCTCGCTCGGCCTGGAGGGTTTTGCTGCTCAGAGCTTCAGTCCTGCTCAGACAACCTGAGCTGTTCCTGGCGTGTGTCAGTGTCACCTGGTGGGGCAGCTGTGTTCAGAGCCAGCCGTGTGTCAGTGTCACCTGGTGGGGCTGCTCTGTTCAGAGCCCAGCCGTGTGTCATTGTCACCTGGTGGGGCTGCTCTGTTCAGAGCCAGCCGTGTGTCATTGTCACCTGGTGGGGCTGCTCTGTTCAGAGCCAGCCGTGTGTCAGTGTCACCTGGTGGGGCTGCTCTGTTCAGAGCCAGCCGTGTGTCATTGTCACCTGGTGGGGCTGCTCTGTTCAGAGCCCCCTGCAGCTGGGGCTGCCCTGCCTGGCAGCGGATGCAGCTTTCAGTGCAGCAGCTGCAGGGGTGCTGCAGGTGAGGCTGCGCCCAGCACACCCTGCATGCTCAGCCCTGGGTATCCCCTGAACCCCAAACCCACCAGGAAACCCAGATTGTTCCTCCCCATCCTGCTCTTTTAGTGGCTTCCAAAATTCACTTTTCCCTTGGAGTTCTTTGGATTCCCCGGATTTAATTCCTGGTTTCTTTTCTCATTGTTTTTAAGTTGTGCATGACATAGGAAATTTTTTTTTTTTTTGGGTCATTTGGGCTGATCCGTTCTTCTTAAGGAGTGGAATGTGTAAATAGCTGGAATGCAGATTTTTTTCAGGAGATTCTTTAAAGTCAGAGAAAGGGGGAGGGAAGGAAGTGATTCTCTTGTGTCCCAAAGTCCATGTCAGAGAGAGTAAATATTTCCTCTGGTGTGAAAAATATTTTTATAACTGGTTGAAAGTGCAGGTATTGAGTTTATCAGGAAAAAGAGAGTTAAGGAATACTAAAATTAGCAGATTCTTGTCTGAATTTTTTCATGTCCAAAAAAACTGTTGATTGCAAATAGTTGCTTCAAGCATTGACAAGGGCCACCTTTTGCCTATGAAGTCGTCTCAAAAAAAAAAAAAAACAAATATAAATCTTGCATTGATTTAAAAAAAGGAAAAAAAACAGGAAAAAATTAAAAAAAAAACTGAGAAAAAAAGCAAAAAAAAAAATCTTTAATCCAAGTAGCATTAGGTATTGCTGTCTGATCAGTTGTATGGTTATTTGAAAGGTTCACATGATGTGGCATCAAAAATTGTTTTTAGTGTTTTTACAGCATCCCTCTGCCACTAAATAGTTGACTTGAATTTTGGAAAAAGGAAACTGTTGGTGTTTATATGTATATGTGTGTGTATATATGTATTTATAGATCCGTGTGTGTGAGTTCCAGGTGAGTTCAATAGTTTTTTCCCATGCATGTGTATTTCATACATATCTGGCTGATATATTCTATTTCACCATACACCGATTTTATAATTTATTAAATGTCAGTTAAAAAAAAGAAAAAAAAAAGAAATAAAAGGATAGAAAATGGGAAAGACTTATTTTTGAAACGGTCTGATTTTGAAGTGATTCAACCTCTGCTAGGAATGTCTCTTACCCAGTTTAGGAGAAGATTTTTCGTGGATAAGCTGGAGGATTTTTCTGGAATTGGGGGTGTGAGTGCCGTGGTTTGCCTGGAGCCTGCGTGTCCCAGCTCCTGGAGCATCCAGCAGGAATTGGGGACTGCTCACAGCTCCTTTCCCACCTTGCATGGAGCCTGAGAAGGGTGAGCCAAGAGCAGCAGGATCAAAACCCCATCAATGCCCTGGAAATGGAACTTGGCAGTGCTGCTGTCCTGGATTTGGCACCTTGGGAATGGCAGCTCGGCTTGGTGTTCCCATTCCCTGTGATCCTGCTGGGAGAAAGGCTCCAGGTCCAAAACACTGACAGTGCCATGGGAAATGGGACGTGGTGGCATCCTGGGATTTGGCACTTTGGGAATGACAGCTCGGCTTGGGGCTCCCATTCCCTGTGATCCTGCTGGGAGAAAGGCTCCAGGTCCAAAACACTGACAGTGCCATGGGAAATGGGACGTGGTGGCGATATCCTGGGATTTGGCACTTTGGGAAAGGCAGCGGCATTCCCTGTCCCTGTGATCGCACTGGGAGGAAAGCTCCCTGTTAGTCCCGTGGGAAATAGGACGTGGTGGTGATATCCTGGGATTTGGCACTTTGGGAATGACAGCTCGGCTTGGTGCTCCCATTCCCTGTGATCCCACTGTGGGGAAGGCTGCAGGTCCAGGGCTGGCGTTTGTGACCTGTGCCCTGCAGCCCTGCGGGATCCATGGCCCGGGATCATTCCCGTTCCACATCCAGCATTCCCGAGGCTGGAATTCCTCTGTGCCTGCAAGCCCAAGTGAGCCTTGCTTGGTGCAAGTCTCGCTCTGCTTCTCCCCATTCCCTGCCAGAGTCATTCCCAAAGAACTCCTAAATTCCCAAATAACTCCCAGCCTCTGGCTCCGTGGTCTCCAGCTCTCCAGTGGGGGCCTGGGCTGTGCTCCTGGGAATTGCAGGTGGGATTGTCCTCGGGGTGTGCCACGGGAGGAGCAAGGTGAGCACAGCCTGGCTGGGGGGTTCCACACATCTGGGCCGTGCCTGGGATGTGCACATCTGCCTGGGGGATGTGCTCAGGTGTCTGGGACATGCTGACATACCTGTGGGATGTGCACGGGTTTGGGATGTGACACATGTCTGGGATGTGCACACATCTGGGATGTGTTCACGTGTTTGGGATGTGCACAGATGTGTGGGGGTGCACACGGGTCTGATCCTCACACACCTGGGATGTACATGTGTACATGTGTGATGTGCACACACACCTGGGATGTGCACACACACCTGGGATGTGCACACACACCTGTGGGATGTGCACACACACCTGGGATGTGCACACACACCTGTGGGATGTGCACACACACCTGGAATGTGCACACACACCTGTGGGATGTGCACACACACCTGGGATGTGCACACACACCTGTGGGATGTGCACACACACCTGGGATGTGCACACACACCTGTGGGATGTGCACACACACCTGGAATGTGCACACACACCTGTGGGATGTGCACACACCTGTGTGATGTGCACACACACCTGTGGGATGTGCACACACACCTGGAATGTGCACACACACCTGTGGCACATGCACACACACCTGTGGGATGTGCACACACATCTGGAATGTGCACACACACCTGGGATGTGCAGCCACCTGTGGCACATGCACACACGTGTGTGGGACGTGCACAGGAGTGCCTGGGGTGTGCACAAACCTGTGGGACGGGCACATGTGTGGGAGGGACATTGACACATGTGGTGGGACATCCACACGTGTTTGGGGTGTGCACACACGTGTCACACACGGGGATGTGCACGTGTCCCACACACATTCACACATTTGGGATGTGCACACACGTGTCACACTCACACCTGGGACGTGCACACGTGTCACGCACACGTGTCACACACACAACACTCATGTTTGTGATGTGCACACGTGTCCCTGCAGCAGGAGCAGGGACAAGGAGCTGCAGCTGCCTGGGAGCCCCTGTGCCATCCTTCAGGAGCTGGAAATTCCCCCTGAGCCATCCCAGGACCGCCCCTGCAGAGGGATGGAACAGCAATTCCCTTTCCCCTCCCTGGAGGATCCCACAGGTGGGGTGGTCCCAGAGTTCCTTGGATTCTGCAGGAGCTGCAGAGCCCAGGAGTCTGAGGAGAACGTGGTGAAAATTCTTTCTTTGTTGCAGTTGAACATTTCAGGGTTTGAAGCCCGTTTTAGTGGGAAAGGTTTTGGTTTAGCAGTGTGATTTTTATTTTATTTTATTTAAACAGAACTTAGATTTCTAACAAGGGAAACTCACTGGTGGTCCCCGAAAGTGCTGCTGTTCATTAATTAACAAAGGGGAAAAAATGTAAATAAGGACAATATGAAAATGGCCATGAATTCCACGAATGGAAAGCTCTCATCCATTGCCTTAAACCTTTTCTTTTCGTTTTCCTTAGGGCATGCCCTACCAATCCATGGATTTACAAATGTACAGTAGCCCAATGTCAGTTTGTGTAAAAGTACCGAGTGAAAATATTTATTATATGCATTGGAAAAAAAGAAACAAACCAAACCAACCCTGGTTTGCCCACTGAATGTTCCCTGTTTCTGTAGAAATCCTTCGACAGAATAAAAAGCATTCGGTTATTTTGTGTTTCCTGAGGGGGGAAGTGGGAACAGAGGGTTTTCCTGGGTGTTTTTTGGGGCTGGAATGGGTTTTTTTGGGATGATTTGGTGCTGTGACAGCGCTGCTTTGTCCTGGGGGTGTGTGTGAGGGGCAGCTTTTCTTTGGGAATGTTTTCCCATCCTGGAGCAATCCCAAGGGACTGGGAGCTGCTGTGTCTGCAGGAATGGGGAGGGATGAGGCCAGGGATGGATGGGATCCCTTGGAATTTGGGAACAAATTCTCAAGGAATTCCTTGTCCCATCAGCTCCACAAAACCTTTCCTGGATCCAGGAGAGCTCTGGGATCCAGGAGCAAACCCTGGCGTGGGCAGAGCTGCGTTCCCAGCTTTGTCTAAACTTTGGGGTGAACAGGATGGGAGAAGAGCAGGGAAATCCCACCTGTGGCTCTTTCCAGCTGCTCCTGCTTTTCCTGTAGGGCTGAGCTCTTTATAACTCTGATTTTCAGGTTTTTCTGGAGTATTTCCTTCCCCTGGAGTAGGAAGAGCTAATTAAGGGTTGAAGGGTGTGGCCGTGACACTTTTCCATGGAGCAAAGTTCATTTTCCATGGAACAAAGTTGATTTTCCCTGGCAAGAAGCTGCTCAGAGAGCCTGGAATGTGGGGATCCCAGTCTGGGCTCCCTGGGATTGGGGTTGCTGGGAGAACACAGGGATCGGAGCATGGATCAGGATCTTTTCCTTCACTGCAGGAATGAAATCCCTGGATCTGTTCCTATGCCTTGTGTAGAGTTCAGCAATGCCATTTAATTTTCCATACATTTCCCCCATGTTTGGTGTTCCATGAGGATAATCCCTATTTTGCCCTCACAGGGACACTGCTATGGATGTGGGAGGTTGGGATTTGCTTGGATTTTAGGGTTTTTTTCCAATTTCTTCCCAGCTTTGTGTGGCATTCCTGGGTGGTGGCCTTGGAGCATTCCAGCTCTCTGCAGGGATGGGTGAACCACAGAATTCTGGGATAATTTGGGCTGGAAAGGACCTTAGATCCCATCTCATTCCATGGCCAGGGACACCTTCCACTGTCCCAGGCTGCTCCAAACCCAATCCAGCCTTGGACACTTCCAGGGATCCAGGGGCAGCCACAGCTGCTCTGGGAATTCCTTCCCAATCCCTTGGATCTGCTGTGGCTGCCAGGATTTAATTCCTGGTTATTTCATTGATGGAGCAAAGAGGAGATTCAGGATTTAAAAAGGGGTGGAGGGAGAGGACGAGGCTCCTGGAGAGAAGCCAGAGCAGATTTATGGGAATACTGGAGTTTTCCAGGTCACTGCTTGTGCCACCATCCCTGTGAAACCTCCCAGCTGAATCCAGGGAGAGCCGGGAGAAATTCCAGACGCCCCTTTGAGGACCTGCTGAAGGCTCTGAGATCCAGGAGGGACAAAAACGAGGATCAGAGGGGATTTAATCAACCTGGAAAATGAGGATCAGAGGGGATTTCATCAGTCTGGAGTAGGGGAGACTTTCCTGGTGTGGAAAAGGGGAATTTTCCTGAGGAGGTTTTTCCTGGTGTGGAAAAGAGGAATTTTCCTGGCCCTGTTTTTCCTTTATGCAGACACCAAACACCTGCTGGGCTGTGCTGACTTCTTGCAGAACCAGGAGACCTCGACCTTCTGCCACAATCCCAGTATTTAAATGCTTTTTAAAATAATTTTTTTAAAGCTTGACACGTGTTGTCACACTCAATTTATTTCAATAACAGTTGTTATTGCTATAATAACATACATATATATAATAATAATATTATTTCTTGTTTTTCCAGGAATCAGGGGGGAACCTATGGAAGTGTCAGCACTAAATGAAGGCAAAATCAGGTTTTGAAAGGCAACTGATGGTTCCTGAGTCTGATTAGAAAGTGGGAAAAATAGAAATAAAAGCCCTGCAGGTGCTGCTCTCAGCAAATCCCACTCTGGGTTTCAGTAGTCCACCGAGGGAAGGCAAATGTGGTGCACAAATTCCTCGTATTTGATGGTTCCATTTGGCCCAACTTTGGCTTCTCTTAGCAGGTCATCCACTGAAAAAATGGGAAAATATCGTTGGGATGGGATATTTGGGGGTGTTGGGGGGTTCAGAAGGAAAGCAGCACTGCAGGGTTTGGGGTTTGGGGGATTTTTGTTGGCAATCACCTCTGGGATCAGGTGAGAGTTTCAAACTGGCATCAGCCAGCACCTGGATTTTAATTCCATGTAAAATCCTCTGCAGCAGGGATATCCATCTTTTTGAGTTCCACAGAGGAAAAAAACCCTCACAAATTTAGTCCAGGTGGGCTTTTGGGTTTATTGTGCCCCTCAGAGCTGAATTTTCTGACAAACTGAAGGGGTTTGTGGGTTTTGCCTCTTTTTACTTTGGCATCTCCTGCTGGCACGGGCCCTTCCTCATCCCAGAGGCAGCTGCAGAGGAGGAGAAGGAAAAGAGAGGAAGGAAAGGAAGAAGGAAAGGAAGAAGGAAAGGAAGAAGGAAAGGAAGAAGGAAAGGAAGAAGGAAAGGAAGAAGGAAAGGAAGAAGGAAAGGAAGAAGGAAAGGAGAGGGAAGGAAGAGGAGAGGGAAGGAAGAGGAGAGGGAAGGAAGAGGAGAGGGAAGGAAGAGGGAAAGGGGAGCTTGGTCCCAGGGGGAATTGCAGGGCACCTTCCTCGTCGGAAAGCTTCTCCCCCAGCCGGGTGAGCTTGGCGCGGAGCTCGGGCGCGGCGATCACTCCTCTCTTCTGCCGGTCGATCATGGCCAGCGCTCTCAGGATCTCCTCCTCGGGCTCCTCCTGCTTCATCTGCCTGTACATGATGTTCAGGAAGGTGGAGAAGTCCAGCTCTGCGTTCCTGTCTGGGAAAGGGAGGGCAGTCCTTTGGGAATGGCTCCGTTTGGGGCTGGACCCAGGATTAAACACCCTCCTCCTCCTCCCCCTGTTCCCTTTCCTGGGGTTCCCTTTCCTGGGGTTCCCTTTCCTGGGGTTCCATTTCCTGAGGTTTCTTCTCCCTCACCTTGGGGTTTCCTTTCCCTGTCCCTGATCTGGATCAGGGCACGTCACAGCTGGGGTTTTTCTCCTAAAATCCCATTTAAAGCTCTGTTCAATTTGTGCTCTGAACTCAGATCCTGAATTTTTAATCCCCCCCGCCACCTGATCTCACAATTCCTTTGTTTTTGTGCTTTGTTTTTCACACAGATCTTCAGCTGAACATCTTTCTGTGCTCTTCCACCTCTTTTTGTTGGCCTGGGCAGTTTCCCACCCTCCAAATCCATATCAAATGTTTGTCTCCTGCTTTTTTAGGGATTTTAATGGCACTGTTTTGATCCGTGGGCTGGATTTAACACATCACAACAGCTTCTGGAGACTGCTCTGGGTGGATGTTCCCTCCTGGAACATCCCAGCTCCAGAAAAATGGGATTTTCCCGTGTTTAATGCCCGTTTTGGTGGCTGTGCAGGTAGCTCACCGATCCTGTGCAGCTGCAGGTGCCTCTGCACCTCTCCCGGCGTGGGGCTGGCTCCCAGGCACCGCATCACTGCCAGCAGGTCCGAGGCTTTGATCTTCCCTTTTTGTTTCTTGTCGTACAGGGAAAAACATTCCTTGAACTCTAATTAAGAACCAAACCTCGGTTACCCGGCAGGATCCCGCCGAGCCCCGCGCCGGGGCCCGGGCAGGATTCCAGCCGGGATCCGCTTCCAGCGCGGGGGTGTCGCCTTTCCAGGAGGGTGATGGGCACGGGAGGGGGGGGGACCAGGGGGAATTAAGGGTAATTAAAACCCCGAGCGGCGCTAATTGGGGCACTCCAGGCTGAGGAAGCGCGGCTGGGAGGGGAAAAGGGCTGAGAAACCGGAGGGTTTGGTTAAAAGTGCTTTTCTTGCCTTGGTGGGGTAGGAGAGGGAGAGAGGAGGATGATGGAGGAGGAGGAGGAAGAGAAGGAAAAAGAGGAGAAGAGGGAGAAGGAAAAGAGGAGGGAAAGAAAGTAGAAGGAAAAGTGGAAGGAGGGGAAGAAGGAAATGAAAGAAGGAGGAGAGGAGAGGAGAGGAGAGGAGAGGAGAGGATGGAGGGGGAGGAAGATTTTGGAGGTGGAGGAAGATTTTGGAGGTGGAGGCTGCAGAAACCCAGCCTCGTTTGGTGCCATCCTTGTCCCCTCTGTCCCCAGCCCTCGCTGCTGGGGCGGCTGCAGCGGGCCGGGGTGTCCCGGGGATGCTCTGGGGGTGTCCCGGGGGTGTCCCGGGGTCCCCCAAGGATGCTCCGGGGGTTCCCGTGAGCGCCGTGGCCTCCCCTGGCCCCGCCGCCTCCTCCGCTCGGCGGAGCTGATCAGATTTGCAATAATGCTCTCATTGATGCTCTCATTAATACTCTCATTATGACCTAATTAATACCCTTATTTCAGCTTCCTTCGGCCGTTCCCGGAGCAATCCCAGCCCCGGGCGCGGCTCCCCTTTCCCAGGGCGGCTCGCAGTGGGAATTTGGATCCCCTGCGCTGCCTCCTTCCTCCTCCTCCTCCTCCTCCTCCGGCTGCTCTTGCGCTGCAGCATTTCCCTGGAATTGGGGAGGTTTCCCTGGAATTGGGGAGGTTTCCCTGCTTTCCCTGGATCCCGCAGAGCCGGGAGCAGGCACTGAGAACAGCGAGCCCACCCCGCGACACTTTGGGGGCAAAACGCCATTTTTTTATATAAAACAAATTTAATCTCGCAATAATTAACGCCCGAAGCGGAACAAAAGCGGAACAAACCCGTACCTACCATTAATCTGATCCTGGGACAGAAACTTTGCCTGGAGCAGGAACAGAGAGAAAAAAAAAAACAACAAAAAAACAGCAAAGCGAGCGGGTTTAAAAACGCGATTTTGGGGCGCAGAGCGGGCGGGGGTCGCAGGCGTCACTCACCATTTTTGGGGACACTCCCTGCGCTCCGGGACCCGCGGCAGCGGCCACTCGGCGCTTTACCCGGGGCCAAAGTCCGCGCGGGCGGGCGGAGGCTGGAATAAATCCCGCTGCCATGGCTACGGCAGCGCGGCCCGCGGCTCCCGCCGGGAAAAGCCATTTCCCAGCCTCGGGATGGGCTCGGGGCTCCAAAACACCGGGCTGAGCATCCCGAAGGAGCGCACCCGGCACTGAGCCTGGCTGCTGGGGGAGGAGGGGGAGAGAATGCAAAAATCCAGAAATTTAAAATTGAAAAAGAAAAAAAAAACCGCAAAAAAATTAAAAAAAACCAACAAAAAAAAAAACAACAAACGAACAATTAAAAAAAATCCAAAAATTAAAAATTAAAAAAAACCAACAAAAAAAAAAACAACAAAAAAAAAAAAAACCGCAAAAAAATTAAAAAAAAATCCAACAATTTCAAAATATAAAAAAAATCCAAAAATTAAAAAAATCCAACAATTCCAAAATAATAAAAAAAAAATTAAAAAGCCAACAATTCCAAAATAATAATAATAATAATAAAAATTCCAACAATTCCAAAATAAAAAAATTCCAAAAATTAAAAATATCAAAAAAATTTAAAAATTAAAAAATTTAAAAATCTAAAAATTCCAAAAATAATAAAAAATCCAAAAGTTAAAAAAATAAATCTTAAAATTCCAAAATAAAGAAATCCAAAAATAAAAAAATCCAACAATTAAAAAAAATTCAAAAAAATCAAAAAAATCCAAAAATTAAAAAAAAAAAATTAAAATTCCAAAAAAAATTAAAAAATCTAAAAATTCCAAAAATCAAACAATTAAAAAACTTCTAAAAATTAAAAAAAAATCTTAAAATTCCAAAATAAGAAAATCTAAAAATTAAAAATAAATAAATTAAAAATTGCTGAGGGCTCTGGAGAAGGGCGAGGGGATGTCTGTATCTGCAGGAGGGGTGGTGGGGAAGGGGTCTGGCTGTGCCCCAGGAGCTCACGGACAGCCCGAGGAGGATGAGAGCTGTTTTCTGAGGTTTTATTAGGATTTCTGAGGTTTCATTGATTAGGATTGCACAGGCAGAGGGGGATGCAGCGCCTGCAGCAGGCGTGGGGCACATCCAGAGCCAAGGACAAAAAGGAAGCGCCTGGGAGCTCTTCCCGAATGTTTTTATTCCGAATTTCCCCCGGAGATTTCCTCCTCCCTCCGTGGGAGCCGGAGCTGCTCAGTCCCGGCTCCCCTCTGGGGCTGGTTTTGGGGAATTCTCAGGGATTCTCGCGTCTGAGTGAGAGAATTCCTGAAGCAGAGATCCTTGGAGTCCTTGATGGATTCTGGGGCTGGTTTTGGGGAGTTCTGAGGAATTTTCACCCCGAGTGAGAGCCGGTGGTGTTGGTGCACAGATCCCTGGAATTCACCCCCTGCCCGATGGATTTTGGGTTGTTTTGTGGGGAATTCTGAGGGATTCTCAGGTCTGAGTGAGAGCTGAAGGTGCTGATGCACAGATCCTTGGAGTTCCCCCCTGCCCGAAGGATTTTGGGTTGTTTTGTGGGGAGTTTGTCCTTTTGCGAGAGCTGAAGGTGCTGGGGCAGAGATCCTTGGAATTCACCCCCTGCCCGATGGATTTTGGGTTGTTTTGTGGGGAATTCTGAGGGATTCTCATGTCTGAGTGAGAGCTGAAGGTGCTGGGGCAGAGATCCTGGGAGTTCCCCCCTGCCCGATGGATTTTGGGTTGTTTTGTGGGGAATTCTGAGGGATTCTCATGTCTGAGTGAGAGCTGAAGGTGCTGGGGCAGAGATCCTGGGAGTTCCCTCCTGCCCGATGGATTTTGGGGCCATTTGTGGGGAATTTGTCCTTTTGTGAGAGCTGAAGGTGCTGGGGCAGAGACCCTTGGAATTCACCCCCTGCCCGAAGGATTTTGGGTTGTTTTGTGGGGAATTTTCCCTTGTGTAGGAGCTGACAGTGCTGGGGCCCAGACCCCTGGAGTTCACCCCCTGCCCGATGGATTTTGGGTTGTTTTGTGGGGAATTGGCCTCTCCTGCCTCGTTCCTGTGCTCAGCAGTGAGAGCGAGTTAATTAAATCTAATTAATCCCCTCCCTGACCAGCCGTAATCATCACACAGCCACCACCACCACTCAGGAATTTATTCCAAACACACGGACCTACATTAGAAAAAACTAGATTTCTTCTTTTTTTTCCCCCCACCCCCCCTCAAAAATACCAAAAGCTCAGAAACCGCCCTTGGCTGCGTGCAGGTTGTTCATGTGCAGGGTGTAGAAGGCCCAGGGCTCGGGGATGTAAATCACCCCGGGGTACTTTTTCCGGAGGATTTTGTCATTCCAGAGCCAGCCCACCCAGGCGGCGATGAGCAGCAGGGTGATGATGAAGGAGAGGAAGAGGAAGAGCCCGTTGCTGTCCAGCACCAGCCCCTTGCGCCGCTGGTGCAGCACCAGGGCCATCATGGCGAAGAAGGTGAAGATGTAGAGGATGAAGATCTGGCCCTCGGTCACCAGGTACCTGCGGGGGGAATTCCTGGGATCCCGGGCTGCTGGGAGGGCATTCCCAGCTTTTCTGGGATCAGTTTTGATCCTGGGATCACAGGGGGAACATTCCCAGCTGTTCTGGGATCCATGGTGATCTAGGCAGGGAGAGCATTCCCAGCTGCTTTGGGATCAGTGGTGATCACAGAATCCACAAGGAGAGCCTTCCCAGCTCTCCTGGGATCAGTGCTGACCCTGGGATCACAGGGAGAGCATTCCCAGCTGTTCTGGGATCAGAGGTGATCCTGGGATCACAGGGAGGGCATTCCCAGCTTTTCTGGGATCACAGGTGATCCTGGAATCACAGGAGGAACATTCCCAGCTTTCCTGGGATCACAGGGAGGGCATTCCCAGCTCTGTGGGATCAGAGGTGACCCTGGGATCACAGGGAGGGCATTCCCAGCTTTTCTGGGATCAGAGGTGATCCTGGGATCACAGGGAGGGCATTCCCAGCTCTGTGGGATCAGAGGTGATCCTGGGATCACAGGGAGGGCATTCCCAACTTTCCTGGGATCAGTGGTGATCCTGGAATGCAGCTTTTCTGGGATCAGTTTTGACCCTGGGATCACAGGGAGAACATTCCCAGCTGTTCTGGGATCCATGGTGATCCAGGCAGGGAGAGCATTCCCAGCTCTTCTGGGATCAGTTTTGATCCTGGGATCACAGGGAGAGCATTCCCAGCCCCGCAGAGCAAAAGCTGCCCTGGGGAATGGAGCAGCTTTTCCTGGAGTATTCCTGGGAACTCCTGGAACATTCCTGTGGCATTCCCTCCCCAGCCCAGGCACTCACCAGTAGTAGAGGCTGCTGGGCCCCACCAGGAGCAGGGCAGCCAGGGGCATCCGGCCCTGCTCCGCCGCCGGCGTGAAGCAGCCGGTGAAATAAATGAACAGGATCAGGAAAAACGGGATGTACCTGGAAAAACCAGCAATTCCCAGCGCTGGGATGAGCCTGGAAGGGATTGGAACTGCCCCAGATCCACCCCACACCCAGAGCTGCTCCTGTGCTGAGCCTGGGGATGGAGCAGCTGTGGGATTCCCTGCTCAGGGATTCCTGTAGCTGTGGGATTCCCTGCTGTGGGATTCCCTGCTCAGGGATTCCTGTAGCTGTGGAATTCCCTGCTCAGGGGTTCCTGTAGCTGTGGGATTCCCTGCTATGGAATTCCCTGCTGTGGGATTCCCTGCTCAGGGATTCCTGTAGCTGTGGGATTCCCTGCTGTGGGATTCCCTGCTCAGGGATTCCTGCTGCCTCCCCAGGGCACAGCAGGGCCTGGGCAGGGGCTGGGCTCGTCCTGGGCTCTCCAGATCCAGAGAATTCCCAGCCTGGGGCAGGAAAAACCCAGATTTGCTGATGAAGGCAAAGCTGGGCTCCAGTGCTGCCTTGGACAATTCCAGCAGGGAATTCCCAGGCTCCTGTGCTGTGCCTGGGATGTGGAGCAGGATTCCCAAACCCCCCAGAGCCCTTGTTCCCTTTAAAGGGCTCCATAGAATGGGGTTTGCTCCTTCCCAGCACTCCTGGAACCCCAAATCAGCCAGGAGAGATTTCCCCAGGATCACCTGGAGCGGATCCAGGCCCAGCCAGGCCCTCCTCTTGGGATACTTGGGGTGTTTGGGGTACTTGGGATCTTTGGGGTGTTTGTTTGGGATGTTGAGGTGTTTGGGGTATCTGGGGTGTTTGGGATATTTGGGATGTTTGAGGTGTTTGGGGATATTTGGGATATTTGGGGTGTTTGGGGCACATCTGGGGGTGCTGGAGGAGGAACCTTCTGTGCACCCCTGGAAGGACAAGCTGTTCCTCTGGCCCTCAATCCCAAAATATCCCTGAGCAGAGGGGATTTTCCAGCAATTGCCAGATCCACCCTAATCTGGATCCTAATCCAAATCCAGCCCTGGCCAGCAGAACATTATCCCCAGCCAGCTCTGGCTTGGGTTTTTTTTTTCCCACTTTAAGCTCTGCCCTTCCCCCTGTGCCATCCCATAATCTCTGGATCTGCTGGGAATCACTCACCACATGGAGTGCCCCAAATACTCGTCGTAGTAGTAGAGCAGCTCGAAGGAATCGATCTGTGACAGGACAGGGGGAGAATCCCAGTCAGCAAACGAGCACAGCTTCATCACTCGTTAATTCAGGTTTTAGAAATGCTTGAGCCCAGCTCAGCCCATTCCCCAGGTCATTTATAAATTCAGGTTTCAGAAATGCTTGAGCCCAGCTCAGCCCCTTCCCCAGGTCATTTATAAATTCAGGTTTTAGAAATGCTTGAGCCCAGCTCAGCCCCTTACCAGGGTCTCCGGCTCAAGGCTCCTTTACCATTTATAAACTCAGATTTTAGAACCCAGCTCAGTCTCTTACCAAGGTAATTTATGAATTCAGATTTTAGAAATGCTTGAACCCAGCTCAGCTCCTTACCAGGGTCTCAGGTTTGAGGTTCCTTTACCATTTACAAATTCAGATTTTACAAGCCCTGCTCAGCCCTCTCCAGGATCTCAGTTTACAAATTCAGGTTTTAGAAATGCTTGACCCCAGCTGAGGGCTCACCAGGGTCTCGGGTTTGAGGTTCCTGATGATGGGGTTCTCCCTGACGGACAGGTGGTGCTGGTACCCGCTGAAGATCAGCCGGTGGTTCACCGAGTCTCCCACCAGGTG